ATGAAAGCTGCAAAATCGTGAATTAAGTAGGTCCCTAATAATTATCAATTAGTGTTTAGGTCTGGCTCTTCAATGGTGCCTGTAATACTATATGCCCTCTGCTAGAGGAGAAGATGGTGAGGCGGTTGTTACTCTTGCAGAACGTTTGTAAACTGCGGTATTGTACCAAGAGTTAACCTTTTACAATTTGCCAAAAGTAGACCTTTTTCTTATGCTGTAGCTTTTGGGAAGTTGAAAATTGGCCTTATAATAGAGATTATTTTAGTCGTAGAGAAACGATACACTTTTGATAATGCCTTTTATGTGAAAATTGCTCCAACTTAGTGGATTTTTCTGTCAAGTAGGTTAAGAAACACAATTTTGTTTGTTTTAGCGACATATAATTTTGTACATCAGTTATCATTTTGTTAGCCATACTAAGGAGAGGCTTTTTTAAAAGCAAAGACAATCACTTAAATACTTTATTCTGTTCTTTGCTTCAAGTTGCTCGTTCCCTAGTTAGAATTTGTCTAATGGTGTCACTAATACTATCTTTAGTACATAGCTCATGTTTTACCTCGCTTATTATGTATGTTAGAAAACAAGTTCATTTCAACTTGGGAGATTCATATGAACAAGTTCTCTCACCCGTGTTGTTTGCATTGCTGGATCACAGCTTCTGCGATGGGCTTCTGTGCAATTGAGAACCTACCCGACCAGATAATGGGAAAATGCCAGTTTTTCCTTTGCTACGTTTTTTCCACAAGACTTATTTTTAATCGTTGATTATCAGACCAGTAACATCACCACCTTGCACATTTTGTGTTCAGCTGATTTCAGATACCCGAACATTTTCCACAAAGTCAACTGAAGTTTACACACCAGAAACCACATGAGAGCACCCACAGATGTTAGCTCTCAAAATACAGATTCCATGAATAGTTAAGATCTTGCAGCTCTTTTTTCTTAATCTCCTGCCAGAACCTTTCTTTGAGGGAAAGCATCATTTTTCAGCAGTACCAAATTTTTGATGCTCTGCTCTACTTTTTTTCCGCCCCATAATAAGGCAAAAATAAACTTAATATTCACTTCACTGGGCACCATTCAGGCCACAATAAATTCTTTCTGAGAATACAGGGAGGGACCATTGCTGCAATTTTTAAATTTTTTTTTTTGCTACTGAAACAAATTGCTGAACTGTACATTTCCTGTCCTCAGAAGAACTCTGTGCAGAAGGCTATCTGGTGCTAGGAAATATTAATCACCAACAGTTATTTTTCATAATGACTGTTTACTTGACTTATCCCTTTTGTCTTATGCTTTTGAAAGAAATACTCTTAGATAGTATCTGTATTCATCAGGCAGATGACAGCATTTAGTTGAACGTGCCCACATTATGACTGTTGACTAGTCCCGCTGGTCTACAAGTTTTTCAGCAGGTCCACGTACTCTGTCCTACTGTAGTTTGTAAATCACTTGTGTGCCTTGAAGATAGATATATTTTCATCTTGACTAGTGCAATTGCACCAGTATTCTCAGTGACACGAGCAGTTCACTTTCACTCTTTTTTTTCCTCCCATCTGGATAAGAAACCCTGTCTTGTGGGAGAATTTTTCCCTTGTTCATTGTGGCTTAGGGAGACCTTCCTTTCATGCCTTGTCAAGCACTTGCTTTTGCTTAATTTCATGTCAGCTTGGAATGGCAGGACAACGGTGAACAAAACGCTCCAAAGACTTCTGTGTGTCCTACAGCTTTCCTTTAAAAAAAAAACAAAACCAAAAACCAACCCCAAGTAAAATGTGGTTTCACTTCATTTTACTTAATTTTGGGCCATCGTGGTTTGACAGCTTCTCACCGCGCACACGTCTTGAGAGCAAGATGCGTACCAAGTGAAACTGCAGACCAAATAGCATTGTCATACTGTATGGTTACTATACTACAGCTCCCATTTTTTTTCCCCTGAACTTGCTTAATGAATTCATGATATGACTTCAGTTTCAGTCTGCTATCTTTCGAAAATCTAATAATTACTTTTGACCATCCTCGGATTTAGTTACGTTCAGTTAAAATAAGTCTGCTACATATGTCATTACTTGTACTAAAAATCTGTCTAAAATATAACCGGTGTCCTTAATTCTACACAGGCCTTCAGGTCAGAGGCCAGTTGTCCCATAATCGGTTAAATAAACACTGAATTTTAATTTTTCTCCCCCAAATCCAAATAATTTTTACGATATAAGACAGCTGTGTCAAGCACAATGAATTGCCTACATATTTGTTGCAACCAAGCTTTACTGTTGACAAAAATCTCAGCAGATGTAAGGAAGGGAGTTGCATGAACATAACTGCAGAGGTTCAAGTGAATGTTCAAGGTTAGCAGATGTTTTTGACCCTTCATGCCTACTTCTGGCCCTGGAGAGTGTCGGGGCCGAGGGGCTGTGGCCAGCAGCCCGGGCATGTGGGCCGGGGAAAAGGGATCGGCACGGCGAACTAGAATTAGGCACTGACGCGTAGCGGTTGATTAAAGATTATTTTACTTACACCGTAGATGGTCGCGGTGCAGGCAGGAAAACTTGCTTGCATTGCAGTTACAAAACGAAAACAAAACTCGAACAAGACCCGTAGAAAACTCGAGCCTCTTGAAACAACCCGGAAAGAGCTCTGGATACACACACACACGAAGTTTGCTAGGCTCTGTGGACCGAGCGCGCAGGGAAGGGTGCGGCAATGGGGAGAGGCTAGAGGTTGATCAGGCCCCTATATCCTCCTTCAAGGCACACGCGGAGTTTGTTAGGCTCCACAGCGCGCTTAGAGTTCTTCACAAGATGGACGTGAAGTTCTCCTCCTCCAACTTGGGCGGAAACCGCTCAAGCCTCTTATACGGCTAGCAAGCTAATCGCTAGCCGCCACGTGGGAATAATTGAGAAACAGCCAATAGTGGGACACAAATTTGCATGCGAGTGGCGGGAACGCCTTTGCACCGGGGTTTTCTCTATGCAACTGAGAATTGCACCGTGCAAAGAAAGCTCCATTTGGCGGGAAATAATTCTGCAGTGCCGAAGCGCACACAAAATCATACCCTTTTAGTCATGACAGAGAGTTTCCTGAAAAATGGGAATTGTGCCATATGCTTAACATAGTCATTGACTTAGGGGCTTACCTGGAAAAAGAAGAGTCTCACAACTTGAGGTTGTCTCCTGGAACTTGACTCTCTTATGCCAGGTAAGAATTTTGCTGGTGGTAGATAGATGTCTTAAGATGCCTCCAGGATTCTTGGGTCACCCTAGGTGTCTTGTTATGGTATAACAAAGTGTTAAATGATTCCCTGCCACACCTCTGCATTTGTCCTGTCCCATAAAACAGGCATCCTACATCCCCGTATTCCAGTGGGAAGATGGGCTCCCAAAAATCTGACGTGTGGCACGACACAATTTTTGCATAACCTGTTTCTTTCCTGTTTCCCATTCCTTTATTTTGTCGGGTTGCTGCTTATATTCCATCTGCATCTGAGGCCAGTTCTCTCTCAGATTCATTCTGATGAATGTGAGGTGGAATGCAGACCTGAGAGAGGGGAACATAGGTCTTGTGAGGTAGGGGCAATATGAGCACTTCCATGCTTGATGGCATGGTGAACTGAGATGGGATTCGGTGCTGAAATGCCATATGCATTATGTAGCACCGAGCAGGATAGAGCTCTGAAGGGCATAAGATCAATACTTGTGAGCAAACTGAGAATTGCAGAGTAATACAACTTTTGTTAGACAGCATGCGTTTCACTTCGCTATCTTTTTTGCAAGTCTGCTCTGCCATTTTGTATCTCGGATGAATCCCTACTATAGTCCTAAGGAGACATAATCAAAGTTCGTGGCATTTTAATGTAAGTTACAGTTTATCCTAATAATGTCGCCCATGACCTAATAATCAAAGAGGTGGTGCAGTGCATGATATCAAGGCCTACTCCAAGCTAGTTCTTCTAAGAGACCTTTTGTGTGGGGCAGGGGGAGAGTTAAAAAAGGAAGTGAAAATAGCATTGCAGGGTGTACTCCTAAAATAGCCATTTTCTCTGCAGTAGGAATTCACCATGGTCCCAAAGTGTTACTCGCACAGTGATGCTGTGCAAGAAAACATTGACCTCGTGGTTGAAGTTGTTAAAATCAGTTACTTTACGTTCAGCTCCAGAGAAACAAAGGGGAGGGGGGAAACCCAGAACTGTTTAAAAACTTTGGATTCTGCGTTGCTGATGACATTTTAGAAACGGGCAGAAATCTCTGAGGATAATCTCCTGCATATAAATGTGAGTCAGAACTGCAGTTTTACTAGTTAAAAGCAGATATAAGTCAGAACGTCATCCAGACTTTTTTTTTTAAGGTTTAACACGCATTTTTGTGGTTTTATTTAAATCTTGCATTCTTAGCTGTACTTGATTCTTTAAAATAGATGAGTCTGTAGGGATAGATTTCTAAACTTTAGAAACTTAACTTTACAAGCTGCCACTTTGAATTAGCAGTCAAACAGTTTTCTTGGTTTTCCAGCTCATAAGCAAAAGAATTAGTATTATTTTGTTTCCCAAGCTCTGTGTTCCTTGCACTCTGAAAAAATTTCTAGGTGCCCTTATCTTCTTGTAGCTTACTGTAAAATTAGCGTGGAATTTCTTAGAGTTCAGTTCAACCTCCATGTTTCCACTTCTGGTGGCCTGAGAGAGGCAATTAATAATATACTACTTAGCTCTTTTAATGCTCATGTCATTCCTGAGTTTGTTCTTCCAAATCAAAACGTACGTAGATAGTTGAAATGTGTTTGGGAATTTATGCTTTATATTTAACTATGTTTTCCAAGGATGCTGCTGATGAATCCGACTGGTTTAGATTGCTATCCTATTATGACTGATTCCTCATCTGAAACCTTAAGGGTGGCACAAAGCTTTCTTTTAAAATCATAGCTGAACATGTCTGATTATTTATATTTATCTCCCAAAGTGTTAAAAATATGTCTGATATATTCGGGGTTTTGTGCTTTTACAGGTGAGTTGTGTAACCTTGCAACGCTGGATGTAGCGCACAATCAGCTTGAACATCTTCCAGAGGAGATTGGGAATTGCACGCAGATCACCAAACTTGACTTGCAGCACAATGAACTCTTGGACCTGCCAGAAACTATAGGTATGTGCTAGTGAGTTTGGGAGGGGGAAAATGCTTGTTTCCTGATGTTTACGGCATTGACCACTAAAAACAGTATATCAGTGAATTTCATGTGACCTGTAATGATAGAAGGTATAAGTGCCCTGTTCAAGGCATTTTCATTATCAAAAACTCCAAGTGACAAACAAATGGGAAATAATATTAAAGTCATCTCTAGTGACCCTGGGGAGTATCATCTTACTGGGCAAAGGGAGGATGGGTAGGTTCCTGTCCTCGCTCTTTTTTATGATTTGGGCATGTTAAGAATAGGGAGAATGCACATTACAAAGTAATGCACAAAGTAGATGTCTTAGCTTTTCCAGGGATTTGAGCGGGATGGAGTAGGTTTGTACTTAACGACTTAGGTGCCTAAAAGCCACTTAGTGCATGTTCAAACAAGTATGGATGTTTGGTTCCCCGGAAACAACTAGCAGCGCTGTACCTTGCACCTCAGCTACTTGTCTCCGGGGAATGCCCATGCCACGTGTGCTTTGGCATGCAGCAAGTTACCCCAGGTGGGATAGGGGAGGCTGAGGCCCCAGCAGCCTTACCTAGGGTCCTGGGGGCCTCCCAGGGATGCATCAGTGGTGGTTCTGCCCTGCGGAGCCTGGTCAGCAGCTGCAGTGTGACTCCGGGTGGCCCAGCATTGCTTTTCAGCAGTGTGTGTTGCCTGTGTGTGTGCTGCTCCCCCTTTTTTTTCCCCCCATAGGTGGTTTTTTTTTTTTTTTTTTTTTTTTTTTTTTTTTTTTCATTTTTTAACTCCATGATATCCAAAAGTACTTTAAGACCATGAATAGTTTAGCTGAAATGAACAGAGCTCTTTGTGTTTTAAAGTTAGGTACCGTGCCTCAGTGTTTTGTAGAGGAGAAGACAGGAAAATGAGGATGGATAGAACATTTTTTGGAAAAAGACAGGAAAATGAGGATGAATAAAACGTGTGCCTACAGCAAAACTTGTAGGGCTATGAAATAATCCCCCAAGTGAGAGGGTGGAAACCTCATAGTGTGAGCCTTGTAAAGTTCATCTAGGAAAAGAACCAAAAAGTATATTGTGTGAAACTACCTACACCTGGTCAATGTGAGAAGGTTGCATCCCCTTAACTTAAACTGTATTGTCACCCTTATTGCAGTGCACAAATGGCTTGTTCTTGCCTGAGTTTGGAGTGAATCCTAGCTGACTGAAGTTAAACCAAAATGAGTCTGTCCTGCGGAGCCATTACTCTTGCTTTAACTAAACTGCTTAGCTTTATCTCTCTGTTTTTTAAAGCATTTCTTTGCTTGTTTCTCGAACTTTGCCTTCAGGGGTTTTTCCATTTTTTTACAGGAAAATATTCTTTTAATTATCATCCTCAGTAAATTGAAAGCTTTTTATACAGACCGTAGAATTTTAAACGGATGCATATCAATTCGAGAAGGCAGTCCTGGATGTTTTAAAAATTATCTTTTGGCATAGTCTTCACTGAAATTTCTCATTTGATATTTTAATTTTTTGGGTGATTTTTCTAGTGTTTGGAATGTGGCTCATCTCTAGAACAAGCACAAATAAAATGATCTCTTCATTCTTTCTTTAGCCTTTACTATGCTTACTATAAAGAATGACTACTGAGTGGAACTGTATTTGAGATGCACTTCATTATGCCTTTACCAGCCAGATGGAAACTCTTTGTAATGGTTATAGGTGGCTTATCTAGAGAACTATGAACAAAAATTACTCCAATTAAATGGAGCTGTGATAATTAATATTGGCACTGGTCCCCCAACTGCCAGATTTCTGGACCTGTATGGATCTATACTTCTGTTGTATAGTGTACATCCCAATTTCTACCAGTTGGTTTCTGGGGGGAGGCGGGGGTGCATTATACAGGAACTGCACATTATTCGGTGGCCTCCCTCTAGCCGTTGAGGGAGGGTTGTCGTTCCTGGTGGGCTTTAGGCTCACCATCATTGTGTAACAGAGATCTGTCTCACTGGGGGACAGTGTGGATGCTCAAGGAGAAGGTAAACAGGGCATGTCTCCCTCCTCCCCACTCCTGCTCCTCTTCCATTGCAGCTTCCAGCATTCAGAGGCATTTAAATGTTGCACCTCTTTCTGTCATGTTCGATACTCCCTGAACTGACAATTCAGTTGAAGTAATTTGGGACTTGTAAATCGTGATACTGAAAACTTAGGGTCATCTTTATAATATTGCTGTCAGTAAATCAACTCTTAGCAGGTAGAGGCAGTTTGATTTTGCATTTTCTTCATATTTTGTTTCCCAGCAGCATTGCTTTAAAGCTTTTCAAGACATGTTGGTAGCCCTTCCAGAGCCCTCCCCACCCTAAACATACAGCTATACCCACGCTGTGCTTATCTGAACAGAACATCACTGCTTTGCAGTTCAACAAACCACCAAAGTCAGATTATAGTTTTGAGCTGCTGGAAAACATCTCTCTTTCTTATCAGGCAGTATCAATTATATTTGAGCATTTCTGTTAGAAGATGTATGTAATTTAGAATGCAGTGTGTGTACCATATAAACTATAGTTCACAAGCAATCAGAACTTAAATACTTGGAAGAAAATAAATTCCAGCGATTGATAATGATCAACCTACATTCTGCACGTTGCACAGAGTCAGTCGCAGCTAGTTCAGCAGCGTTGGCACAGTTCTTAGTCATCAGTTTGGTTCAACATTAAAGCAAGTTGTGGCTTGATTTTTAGATTACAGTTTATTTAGTTGCTAGAATTATTCAGTAAGGTAACTTCAGCACCGAGATTAATAAACTGGGTGAATCGTTTTGACCTTGGAGTCCAAAATCTGGTTAGCATTATTTCAGGCTTTTGTGTTTATTAATAAGCTGGAGAACTTTATTTCCGACTTTGGAATATTTCTTCTTTCACTAGGCCCTTTCTCTCTGTCTTCTTTTTTTCTTTTCTCTCCTTACTCTGACATCTACTTGATGCAAGCCATGATGAGCATTTCTTGCAACATGCACATATTGCCAAGTTCCAGCTTGTTTGATGTATGAGCACTGTTGAAGTTTCACTGATTCTGTCAAACTTGGTCTGCAACTCCTGCCCCCCCCCCCGACCAAACACATCTGCTGATCATAAACACAGTGTTTAATTTAGCATTGATCTATTATAGAAAGTATTGTTTGACTTGTCACTTTTGCTAGACCGGTCTTTAATTTCCACAGAACAGCTTGATGTGAAATCCTGTGTTGCTTATAAAAGGAACTTTTGTCAGGTTTTGCTTTTACGTGTTGGTTCGTTCTCTCATAAATAGATGCTCGCTACCCGGTTAGCATACTGCACCTGGTTTTCTCATGGACAGCTTCCCCGGTGACCTTCAAGGTATTTAAATAGGAAGAGAAAGCTTTACGTATTGGTAGAACTGTGCTGGAGTAGTGAGTCCTTGAAGGGAAAGGATCTTGTTGTATTGCTGGTTTATGGGAGTGGCAGGGAAGGGCCTGTGTACCAGCAGTGATTACAGAGGTAACAAAGCCAGTTTATTCACAGTGTAGCAGCCTGTGATTCTTGTTTCAAGAAACATGTCTAAGTTTCTTTTAAGCACACACTTTCATACAGTAACAAATGGCAATTTAGATATTACTTGTCAGGAAGTGACCTAATGTCTTGCTTTGTAGATATCGAGTTAGTGTTTTCATATCGGTATTTTTGTTGATTGAAAATAGTAGAGTACTTTATATATTAGATCACTTCCTGTAAGAAAAATATGCTTTGTGAAACAACATAACATGTTCCAAGTGCCATAAAGCAAAAGAGTGAACTTTTAGGCTCAAAATTAAAGTCACAATACAATAGGTTCTTAGTGTTTCCGAGTTTCTTTTGAAGAAATATTTTTATTCCTGATGAAAAGGTTGAGAAAAATAAACTTTTAATTACTTTTAATTTATAATTTTTTAAACATATACAATTGATATGGCTATCTTGCCCATTCCCAGAGGTACCTACATTAAGTAAAGGAAAAAAAAAATATTTTAAAATTCATGATTTATTTGACTTTTGAGAGAAAGAGAGCAAAGCTTTGATATATAAATAAATTAGCCATCTGATTACAAGGTAGTTTAAAATATAGTGTCCTTAAAAACTACATTACATTTGTAATCTGCCCTTGAAAAGATAAGTAATTCTATTTCTAACTAGAGTTCTGTTTACAGACTTCTTATTTTTTAAGTATATTAAAATAATCTGAAAGAGAAATTGAATAGGTAACATTAAAATTCAGGAAAGAAATTCAAAATGCATTTTTTTTTAAAGTAACAAGCCTATTTCATTATTCTCCAATTCTGTACGCGTGTGTGTGTGTGTGTGTGTGTGTATATATATGTATAGCTTGATCATAATCAAATGGGGCCAGCTAGCTAAGCAGCAGTGCTGCAGAAAAGGACCTGGGGGTTACAGTGGACAATAAGCCGAATAGGAGCCAGCAGTGTGCACTTACTGTGGAAAAAGGCTAACAGTATCCTGGGCTGCATTGGTAGGTGTGTTGCCAGCAGATCAAGGGAAGCAATTATTCCATTTTTCTGCTTTGGTGGGGCCACATCTGGAGTCCTGTGTCTGGCTTTGGGCCCCCCACTGCAGAAAAGATGTGGACAAATTGCGGAGTCTAGGAGAGGGCAGCAGAAATGGTTCAAAGGCTGGAGCACATGATTTATGAGGAGAGGCGGAGGGAACTTGGCTTATTTAGTCTGCAAAAGAGAAGGCTAAGGAGAGTTTAATAGCAGGCTTTAACTAGCTTATCTCGCTGGGATCCTTTGACCCTAGCTGACTTCCTGCCCCTTGGGCAGGGGGCTGGACCTGATGATTTTCCGATGTCCCTTCCAGCCCTAACATCTGGGACATTTAGCTGAAGGGTGCTTCCAGGCAGGATGGAGCTGGACTGTTCTTAGTGGTGGCAGATGACAGAACAAGGAGCAATAGGCTCAGGGTGCAGTAAGGGAGGTTTAGGTTGTATAATTGGAAAAACTTTCTCACTAG